TTTATGTCTCCTGATTATTGCCTTAAAACTTTTAATTTTGACTTATTGTTGGACTTTTGTTGTATTTTTTCATGCTGGAAGTGGGTTTCGCAGAGAAAGGGAAAGTCATCATCACGTTTGTTGATGTGCTGCTGCACAAATGGATCCCAGTGCAGACTGGAAGGAGACGCTGGTCGACTCAGAACACAGAAATTCATTTAAAACCAGACAAAACGACATGAAGAGGGTAAAAGTGATGATGTTCAGTCAAGCTTCCTGATGTCTTTACGGTTTCGTCTGGATTTCATCATGTTTCTGTGTTTTATTACCGTTACATCCAGATGCATCGCGCCAAAGGTTTGGTGTTTGTCTACGAGTTCTTCCAGGTTTCCTTTGCATCCATCACTCTGGCAGCGCCGGACAAACTAATCTTCTCCCTGTCTCCTCTCATTCCATCACTGTGCCCAAGCAGCAGCATCAGCATCCGGCCGGATCATATCAAAGCACCTGGAGGACGAATTCGTGTCTCGCTGAGATGGACTGAGGTCTGGATTGCTTTCTGATGACCTAAAACTCTGCTGGCTGAGAGGAAATATGAACTGCTGGGCGTTTGGCCGTGCAGTTCACAAACTAGACCTGGAGTTAATCTGGGAAAGGTGAGAGATCACCTGGGGTCAGCCTCGTTATCTAATGACGTAATGAATCTGCCGCCGCCGTTTGGCCTCAAGAGGAGCGTTTTAATAAAGCCACGTAATTGAAGGCCGATGGCCGACATGCAGATGCTCCACAGAAACATTCCTGGATTTTAAATCCTCGCTGCTGCTTGCAGACAGAGCAGCAGAGCAGCTTCAGTCACACAGACACGGCGTTTCTCTGAACAGGTTTTAAAAATGTGTTAGCTCTGTAATCTTAGGCCAATATTTGGTTCTCCAACTAGATTCAGTGATGAAAAGAACGAAGCAGGCTGTTATATCGCGGAGCTTCACTCTGTAATATTTTACTGTCAAAACAAAGACTAAAGATTAAACTTTATGACAGAACAGCTAAAAAGAGAGAAAGTGGAAGAATGCCTCCTGCCTGTGAAAAGAAGATGGCGGCGTTTTGAATTGACTGATTTCCTTTTGACCTTTGACATCAAAGCAGAGATTAACTCTGACTCCACTCCATTTTTGTTTAGGTTTGGTGAAGAAGACCATTTTCCTCAGTGTCTTCAGTGGATTTTGTGTCGTTTCCTGCAGAGGTTGTTGGTGCAGCGCCCCCACAGGCCAGGAGGGGAACAGGTTGGTTCGACTCAGCAGAGAGGAAGAACCTCAGCAGCTGGAGATGGAACAACATTTTGTAACTTTAGGATTATTTTAGGACCAGAAATCATTTCTAGTGCTATCAGGAGAAATGACTGCTTGTTTTGGTTGTATTTACCCAGAATGCCCTGCTCTGTAGTCCTCTTCCTGCTGTTGGAGCAGCCTCCAGTTCGCTTCAGATACTAAGCGAACTACACCAGAGTTCACTTTAACCAACAAGAGGTTTTCAGATGGACTCACCTTTTGGCCGATTACACATCCAGACGTCCCAATAGAACCGGACTTAGAACCAGTAAACACAGAGTTCGGTTAAAGTGGACTAAACAGAGCTGCTGGGGATGCACCCTGAAAGAAGGTGCACTTTCTTTTTACCCTGACACTCTGGAGCTGATTGCTGGCAGCGAATCGCCCGGCCGCAGCGCAGTAACCAGCAGCAACAAACACAAAGTCAAAGCCCCGGATAAATATCCTCATTATGGTAAAGAAATATTCCCTTTCAGCGGTGAATGTGTCCGCTCGGCCTCCCAGCCTCCACATATCAGCCCAGAACAACTCCCATCAAATTACCATGTAAATTACTGGCTTACGAACCGCAGCGGAGCCGTGTTTTCATGATTGAACAGGCATATCTTTATTAAATAAACACATAAAGAGAGTGTGATGTGAGCTCATGAATGCAGAGGTAGAAACACTGCAGGAGAAACATGTAAATGAGCAGACGGTGTGTCTGTGTGTTTACAGCCAGGCGGTGTGTGCGTCCCGCTGCACGCAACAAAACACGGCACAGATTTATGCCTCTGAGGGAAACCATTAGCGGCCTTCCATTTCAGCTTCCACCGCGCTTTCGAAAAAAGCTAAACAGACATGGAAATATTAGTAAAACTCACTAAAAGGCTGAAATGTTGTTGTTTAGTTTACCAGAGGGGAAAACAGCCTAAACAGTGAGGTTCAGGTTTAAGAAGCAGGAAATGGAGGAATGTAATTAAAATGATCATCAGATGGGATATTACAGAAAAGCTCTGACTCCAGAATGAGACTTTAAACTGTCAGGGTTCATCTCGGCCTCGGCTGCAGGACTTGGTCTGAAATAATGAGGATGTTGATCTGGAAGCTGCGACACTTTCTGACACTTCCACCACCATGTTTACCAGTTAACTGGTTTTAGGTCTTAAAGCTTCACCTGAACTCAGAGTCGGTTTCTCCTGTCAGTGGAAATGAGAATCCAGTCAAACGATCGAACAACCGGGCCGAGGCCCATTCTTCAGCCGGTCTCGATCCGCAGTTCACTTCTAGCTGTAAATCAGACTGGATCCGAAACGAGAGCCTTTTGTACTCCACAGCCACCATTACTGGGCTTTATGGTGAAAACTGAGCCTTTCTGCTGCAGTGCAGGCCTGGTGGCATTGAGGGGTATTGAGGGTATTGGGGCATTGGGGGGTATTGGGGCATTGGGGGGTATTGGGAGGTATTGGGGGGTATTGGGGGCATTGAGGGGCTTTGGGGGGTATTGAGTGGTATTGAGGGGCATTAGGGGGCATTGAGGGCATTGGGGGGCATTGCCCGCCCACAGACTCAGCCGTGCCCTCCCTGGACTGGAAGCTGTTTGTTGGTTTCACCTTAAAGTGTCCAACTTCCTGTTATTCCCGTGTTGATTTGATGCTATAGAGGCTTCAGCATTTCCCATATCTGGGTCTTCTGTCACTTTTTTTCAGCAGTTAAAACTGTTTAATACGTTAAGACGTCACAACCTGCTTTTTCCGAGCCGCCTTAAACGCAACATGAGCACCAAGACGCCAGCTGGGTTTACACCTGTGTGCAGAGACACTCAGGTGTGTTTGAATCATGGCAGCAAACCAGCTAAACGCAAAGAACTTTGAACAAGTTTCCCCAAAACTAACAGACTGAACTGGGTTCAGTTCAATCTGTTACACAGTCGGTTCTGTTCGATGCCACGATGTCCATCATGGCGCCGCAGCCTGATCAGGTGATGTCGTTGCACAGGCTCAGTAGATGCATAGATTCATGCCACACTTTTCAGATTCCAGGGACCGTTTTCTCTCTTTTCAGTCCTGCAGCTGTTTGTGTTGCTCTATCACTTTAAGCACCATTTGCGCTGCATCTGTCTGACCTCAGAGGATCAGAGGTCTCCTCTCTGTGATGCATCCCGACACCCGGTCCGGTCCGGTCTGGTCCGGCCGGCTGCAGGATCATTATCACGCTGAGTTTCCCTCTGCAGCTGCAGTGACTGACAGCTTCTCTACCTGCTCTGACATGCAGGTAACAGGAGCAGCTAATTATTTCATGACTCTTGACTCTTCTGTCGCCTCTCCGTCTTTCCCACGGTGTTTTCAGCTTCCTGGAAGTCCCACACAGTGAAGTTTGCGTCCTCCTCTTCCTCCTCTCGGCTCTTTCAGGATAGAAGCTGCAATCTGTCTGCGAGGCAGAGATGGAGGATTTTTATTTCCTCTGACAGCCTCCAGTTTCTCTGGCCCAGTGTCAGTTTTCTCCTCTGAACTGGCAGAACACAGGTGTGTGTGTGTGTGTGTGTGTGTGTGTGTGTGTGTGTGTGTGTGTGTGTGTGTGTGTGTGTATGTGTGTGTATGTGTGTGTGTGTGTGTGTGTGTGTGTGTTTTCAGGCGGCCAGCGGCTCTGCACCGCGGCCTTAATGAGCCATCTGGGCCGACTGCAGGCTGGCCGCTCCGGCCCACACGGCCTCAAACCCAGCAGACCGCATGCAGGACGGCAGACAGGTCAGAGCTCAGATCGCCGCGCTGACCCGAACGCAACGTCCTGCTGCAGGTTTAACGGGGCTGGGAGCAAATCTGAAGCTTCAGATAACAGAGGTTTATCGTGCTGCAGACACATCCTGTCCTCCAGGTTCTCCACCGGCTCCATCAGCTGATGTTTCTTGAGACGTGGAGCGGTCAGGTGAGGCTCCAGGTGAGTCTGGCAGTAGGAGGGCAGACACACCATGCAGGACTTCAGGGCCTTCAGTTTGGTTCATTCAGAACCAGAACCAAACATGGAGGAGCATTCAGATTCTACGCACCAGAAATCTGAAACAAACTTCCAGAAAACTGCAAAACAGTCGAAACACAGAGTTCCTTGATATGTAGACCAAAACTCAATAACTCTAACCAACATTTTAATGTATATTAATGACTGCATAACATACTGTACATAAATTGAAGTTGAATAATACTGAGTGTTTTAATAGTACCTTCCACAAGTCCAACATTAAACATTAATCAACATTTTGATGAGTGACAAAAATGTAATATTCCAATCAATTTGTTTAATCAATTTGCATTTTTGTGTTTTTAATTATCTAAAGCATTTTGATCCACCTGGCCCTGAAATATGGGATATAAATAAACTGGACTGAATTGATGCTGTGGTGAAACAATGAAGAGAAGAAGAGTTACGATCGATACAGTTCCAGTCATGCAGGTTTAAAGATGAATATAAATCAGAAATGAATAGAAAACAATCAATTTCACAATTATATTTTTATTCATCAATCACATGGTACATTTACACTTCTGATGAAAAGTTCACATAAAATCACCATGAAGCAAAATTTAAAATGCTTTAAATGTTATCATTAGAAATCAGTTTTAATTTGATGAACAGGTTGAAACATTGAATGCAGGTTTAAAACTGATCATCAATAAAAGATGAAAAATGAAACAAGATGACACAATCAGTAGATCAATGAAATAAACTATTAGATTTGACTTTATAACAATCAGAAGCAGAAAATATCAGATTTACTGCTGAGGATGTTTCCAATATCTTAAAATCATCTTCGTCATCATCATCAGATCAACGATCAGCCTGATTAACAGGACAGATGATCAGAGGAGCAGAGTTTTTACCTCCATCATTAAAACAAGGACTGAAGTATGGGTATAGTTTCTGAGTGAAGCAGCAGCCAGTAAAGGAGTAGATCAGAGCTGCAGCATCTGCATCATAGAAGGAGACCAGACCCTCCTCATAATCCACAAACACCCCCACCTTCTGAGGACCAGGATGGAGACGGAGATGGACTGGAGAGTCAGCAGCAGCTTTGTACTCATTTCCATTTCTCAACAAAATAGTCCAGAAACCGTTCTGAGGTTTCAGTCTGATGTTTCCCTTCCTGTTGATGGATTCTCTGGCCACTCCTAAATCCCATTCAGTCTTTCCTTTAACCTGAACCTCAAAGTAAAATCTGCCTGAAGAGAAACTCTGCTGTCCTAAAACAGAAACACAGTAAGAGAATCTCTCTGGATTGTCTGGAAGTTTCTTCCTTTTATCTCCATGTTTCACCTGTTTTCCATCATCAGACAGGAAGAGTTCACGATGAGCCGAATCAGGATCCAGAGTCACATCAACAGCAAACTGCTGGATCCTCTTCATCTCAGCCTCCATCAACTTCTCCATCATCATCTTCATCTCCTCCTGCAGCTGAGCCACAGCTCTCCCCACTGTCCCCTTATATGATGGTGGATGAACTCTGACCTCTGTCCAGGTCCTGGTGGGTGGAGCATCTTTCAGGGAGGAGAATCTCTGCAGGAGGTGGAGGTGATCTTCATCCTGTGAGAGCTGCTTCACCTCAGAGCTCCTCTTCTTCAGCTCAGAGATCTCCTGTTCCAGGTCTGTGATGAAGCCTTCAGCCTGTTTCTCTGCAGCTTCCTGTTTGTCTTGGATCTCCTTGAGGAGCTCCTTCAGGCGTCTCTCAGCAGACTCCATCAGAGCCATGAAGACCTGAACACCTCCAGCTTTCTCTCTGTATGCAGCATCTCTACTGATCTTCACCGACTCTCTGATCTCCTGGATCTTCAGTCGTCTCTCCTGGATCATCTCCTGAACTTCAGCCTCCGTCTTCCTCAGCTCTGCCTTCTTTCCTTCAGATTCTTCTCTCAGAGGAACAAACTTGTGGTTCTTGTGGTCTAAAACACAGAGTGAGCAGACGCATGTCTGGTCGGTCCTGCAGAACAGCTCCAGAGGTTTATCGTGCTGCAGACACATCCTGTCCTCCAGGTTCTCCACCGGCTCCATCAGCTGATGTTTCTTGAGACGTGGAGCGGTCAGGTGAGGCTCCAGGTGAGTCTGGCAGTAGGAGAGCAGACACACCATGCAGGACTTCAGGGCCTTCAGTTTGGGTCCAGTGCAGACGTCACAGGGAACTTCTCCTGGTTTGGCAGCTTGTTGCTCTGAGCTGCTGCTGGCTCCCTGCTGAGCTTCACCTCTGAACTGATCAACCATCTCTTTGACTAAAGTGTTGACTCTCAGCTGAGGCCTGGAGGCGAAACACTCGTTGCACAGAGGACACTTGTAGGGACCATTTGTATCCCAGTGCTGAGTGATGCAGGTCTTGCAGAAGTTGTGTCCACATGGTGTGCTGACTGGATCAGTGAACACATCCAGACAGATGGAGCAGAGAAACTGATCTTTAGACTGCAGGTTGCTGCCAGAAGACATTTCTGAACTCTGAGGACAGATCAGGGAAACTTCAGTTAAACAAGTTGATTAAGGGGCAGAATTTAGTGTTTTAGATTCATGTTGGGCCTTTTATCACAATCATGTGTTTTGATTGGCTGCTACTGTCATGATGGGTCTCAGAGAGCCAATCACAGACAGGCTGGCATTAGGATGATTTATTTTCTCAGTTAATCATAAACTTAAACAGGTTGGGAAGAGGAGGGAACAAAACATGAACTCAGCAAAACAACAGAGAATCTAGCAGAGCAGGAAACAAAACCGGGAACTGGAACAACTGGTGAAGCAGGTTGGTGATCCAACTGAACTGATTGAAAAGACTCAACTAGAATAAACTGAACACAACAGAAACTGTTCATGAATGAAAACATCAGAATCATTTAGAAAACCAGACAGGAAGAACAAACGATAGAAAAACTATGAACCATCATCTGCTTCCCTTCTGATATCACAATAAAAGTCTTTAATAATTTACTGTGTTGGTAGAAAACCAGTAAATCAGTTTCCTGCTGAACTCACCAGAATCAATCTGTTGATGAGAAGAAAATCCTGAACTCAGTTTGTAGGAGAAACGTTTTTGTCCACAGCAGCTCAGGCTTTGACCAACTTTTACTTTTATTTCTGCAGAGTGACGTTTTGGTCTCATGACTCTGTTGCTCCACCTTAATGTGAGTCACTGTAAAGGTGGAGCTTATTGATCTTTGGCTTTTTTTTTGTAAGTTATAAAGAAATGAACAGAGTTTGATTCCTGTTGTAGTTCTTGGAGCTTTTTACCTTGCGTTCGGCGGAGTCACCAATATGAGCTGTTTTTATGGTGTGATGATTGATTGAATTGTTTATGTCCACTAGATGGCAGTCGCGAACATAGGTGATTGCACAAATGTCAAGAATAGGACAACAGAAGTAGTCAGTCATTAGTGAGACACCTGTGTGCAACTTGTATGAGCAAACGAACCAGAGCGACTTTAATAAAAGCATCTAAGAAGAAGCACAACGTCTGGTTCTCATCAAACACGAACAGAACATGGTGTCAGGAGTAAACTGAAGGAGTGAATTGAAAATCCGACCATGGAGCTGAAACCACCGGAGAGCTTAAAGCTGACGGGAAACGTGGATGAAAACTGGCGTGCTTTCAAACAACGCTTTCAACTGTGTGTCGCCGCAATGGGTTTGGAGACGAAGCCGGAGCCAAGAAAGGTAGCGATGTTGCTGACCATAGCGGGAGCGCAGGCTTTGGAAGTCTACAACACATTTGTGTTTGATGAACCTGAAGACAAAGAAAAGTTGGACGTTGTGCTGAGTAAATTTGATGCTAACTGTTCACCGAAGAAGAATGAATGCTACGAGAGATACGTGTTTCGTTCCCGGATGCAGACTCAGCATGAACCCTTCGATAACTTTCTGACCGATCTGAAAGTAAAAGCGCAGTCATGAAATTTTGGCCTGCTGAAGGACTCGATGATCAGAGATCAGATCGTCTTTGGTGTACGTGACGGGAAGCTCAGAGAGAGACTGCTGAGAGAACTGGAGCTGACCCTGGAAACAGCTGTAAAGATGTGTCGGGCAAGCGAACTGTCTCTGCAGCAAGTGAGGACATTTTCTGAACTTTCAACAGGAACTACTTCACAGTTCAGTGATGGAGCAGCAGCAGTGGGAGCGGTGTCCTGCCACAAGAAACGACATGCACAAACCAGGCAGCTGCAAGAGGAAGCCATTATCAACTGTAAGCGCTGTGGATCAAGGCATAAAGTGAGACAGTGTCCTGCTTATGGTAAGCAGTGTTTAAATTGCCGTGGACAGAATCATTTTGCAAAGCAATGCTTTAAGAAGAGGAAAGAAGAAAAGAAGAGGAATTGTGTAAACTTAGTAGATGAAACTGACCTAAGTGACACATTCTTTGTCGGTGTTGTGAATTGTGAAAATGAGTCAGAAAAAGTGCAATGTGTTGACAGAGATGATAAATGGACAATTCCTTTGTTAGTAAACGGAACCACAATTAAGTTCAGATTGGACACAGGTGCGAAGGCGAATCTCATAAGCATATCTGATATAAAAGAAATGCAAGTAAAACCTCACATAAAAGAAGTCAAGTCAGGTCTAAGAGACTATAATGGACAATCAATTGAATGCATTGGAACATGTCAGCTGAATGTAACAGTTAAAGGAACAACAAACATCTTGTGTTCTTCTCTGTTGTAAAAGAGGATCGAGAATCACTTTTAGGTGATAAATCTTGTGAAGAACTTGGACTGGTGAAAAGAGTCTACCACATAAACACTGAATTTAATGAATCTAATAACCCGATTGATGCAATGCTTCAGGATTATGAGGATGTCTTTCAAGGATTAGGTTCTGTACCCTGCACATATAAGATTCAGTTAAGAGAGGGCGCGCAGCCTGTTGTTCATGCTGCACGTCGCATTCCAGCGCCACTGCGAGAGAGGTTGAAAAATGAGTTGGATCGAATGATCAGGTTGGGAGTTATTCAGAAAGTGGAAGAGCCCACAGATTGGGTTAATTCCATTGTGATTACAAAGAAGAAAAATGGAGAATTAAGAATATGCATGGATCCAAAAGATCTAAATGAGAACATCAGAAGAGAACATTATCAAATACCCACTCGAGAGGAAATAATCAGTGAAATGTCCGAAGCAAGTTATTTCACCAAGTTGGATGCATCACAAGGATTCTGGCAAGTAAAGTTGGATGAAAGCAGTACCAAGTATTGTACTTTTAACACACCTTTTGGAAGATACTGTTTTCTAAGACTTCCTTTTGGAATAAAATCTGCACCAGAAATATTTCATAGAGCAATGGAGAGGATCATAGAAGGCTTGAATGGAGTAAGAGTCTACATTGATGACATCATCATTTGGGGATCAACTGTTCAAGAACACAATGACAGATTGAGACGCGTCATGGAGCGCATACGGAAAAATGGACTGAAGCTCAATAAAAATAAATGTGAGTTTTGTGTCAAAGAAATTATGTTTCTTTGAGACAAACTATCTGGACGAGGTGTTCAACCAGATGAAGATAAAACACAAGCCATTTTAAAGATGCCACCGCCTGCTGACAAAACGGGTGTTCTGCGCATCATGGGCATGATTAATTTTATAGGAAAATTCATTCCCAATTTGAGTGCAAGGATGACTAACATTCGCAGACTCTTGTACAATGACAGTCAATTCCAGTGGACAGAAGTTCATGAACAAGAGTGGAAGGAACTGAAAAAATATCTGACTTCAGAACCAGTGCTTACCTTCTACGACCCTACTAAAAAATTAAAACTGTCGACAGATGCCTCAAAAGATGGACTTGGAGCAGTTCTTCTTCAAGCTGAGAATGACCAATGGAAATCAGTAGCTTATGCATCCAGAGCCATGACAAAAGCTGAATGCAGATGCTCAGATAGAAAAAGAATGCTTGGGGCTGGCTTATGGGCTAGAACGGTTTCATAACTATGTATATTTACCATCTTTTGTAGTTGAAACAGATCACCGACCATTGGTTGCCATCATTAAAAAACATCTGAATGAGATGTCACCAGGATTCAGAGGCTTATGATGAAGATGCAGATGTATGAATTACACTGATCTACACTCCAGGAAAACGTCTGATTCTTGCTGATGCTCTGTCTAGAGCCCCTGCACATGATAGTGTGAGTTCAACTGAAGAGGATATTCAATGTCATGTGAATTTGGTGTCCAATGTGTTGCCTGTATCAGATAGAAAGTTACAGCAAATAGTTGATGCAACAGCTAAGGATACAGAGTTACAGTTGGTCATACAGAATATGGATGAAGGATGGCCAATAGGCTCATGTTCACAGTTTTTCAATGTTAGAGCTGATCTAAGTGTTGTGAATGGACTGTTACTGAAAAACAACAGAATAGTGATTCCACAAGAGTTAAGACAGGAAATTCTACAGCGGATTCATGAGGGTCACCTTGGCATTGAGAAATGTAAAAGAAGAGCTAGAGAATCTGTTTTCTGGCCTGGACTAAATAAGGACATTGAGGTGCTGATAAGTAAATGTGAAACATGTCAGACATTTAGAAACAAACAGAGCAAAGAACCGATGATCATATCTGACACTCCAACATCACCATGGCTAAAAGTTGGAATGGATTTATTTCATCTTAAAGGAAAAGACTATTTAGTGATCATTGATTACTATTCAAACTATCCTGAGATGGCTCTGTTGGCTAATATGTCATCAAATTGTGTCATAACACATGCTAAATCAATCTTTGCAAGGCATGGCATTCCACATGTTGTAGTGAGTGATAATGGACCACGTTTTAATAGCAGAGAATGGCAAAGGTTTGCAGAACAATATGATTTTAAGCATGTAACATCAAGTCCACATTATGCACAATCAAATGGAAAAGCGGAGAAAGGAGTTCATACTCTTAAGCAACTTCTGAAGAAAGCTGCAGATAGTAACTCTGACCCGTATTTAGCTTTATTAAGCTATAGATCACCATTGCAATGCGGATATTCACCTGCTGAACTTTTGATGAATCGAAAGATTCGTACGACTTAGCCAAGTTATGACAGTAAAGGACAAAGAGCAAAGAAATCGTCAAAGTTGGACAAGTTATGAAAGCAGAAAGTAAAACAAAAGTCATATTATGACAGATCAGCAAAGCAACTATTCTGCAGAAAGTAACTCCACGTTCATTTCGAATCTGTGAAAACTGAAGATGGACAATTCTGAGACGAAATCGTCGCAGTTTGTTGAAAACTCCATTTGAACGTGTTGATGTGAGTGAAGATTCTAAGGACTCTCAGATTACTCCTACAACTGAAACGCATTGTGACATGGACAGTATTAAGGACAATACACCACCTGTGTTAAGAAGATCTACCAGAGTGGTAAAGAAACCTTATAGACTGATGTTGTAAAAAAAAAAAAAAAAAAAAAAAAAAAAAGGGGGAAAAACAGAAAAAAAAGAAAAAATGTATTTTTGTAATTCATGTTTTTAAAATGAGTACTAAGTAAGATAGGTTAAGTGAATTTTATTATAGCTATGTGATATTATGTGCTATCTGTCTCATACAATGGTTGTTTAATTTTAGATAGGATTCATGTAACATTCTAACCTTAAAGAAAGGAGGATATGATGATTGAATGAATTGTTTATGTCCACTAGATGGCAGTCGCGAACATAGGTGATTGCATAAATGTCAAGACTAGGACAACAGAAGTAGTCAGTCATTAGTGAGACACCTGTGTTACTCCTCTCGAGTTCAATTAAACTTAACGCAGTTCTTGATTTTCTACAGCCATTTATTTCAGACACGTTCTTCTAGGTCCTCAAAAAATGCCGTCAAACTACAAAAAAGGTAACACAACCTAAATCAGTTCACAACAAATGGCACAATATAACAAAAGATCCATACAACAAAACTGTACCTCATTAGCTGCATCAACTCCAGAGGAATAAAGTTAATCTTCTCACAGTCTCTCCAGCTCGCATAACCCACATGGCTCCAAATGCGCCAGCCAAAGTTCCCCGGGCAACACATGCCGCGGAACAAAACAAAAGTTCCCCCTCTACATTCCAATGTACACCCAACATAAAACCAATAAAATTACTACTGCCACCTTA